TGATACCAAGGGCTCAAGTAGAAAGCACATGCTTTGAGAACGATGATGGCAACAAATGTACAAATGTGCTTGACACAATGGATGGATGGATGGTGATGAGAGTTGTATGAGCCCCCAATAAAATTATTTTTTAAAATAACACATCCCCACAAAACAAACAAACTACTGGGGAATACCAAAATCAAACTCATTGCAAATGATCATCAACAGTGACCCTCTAGGACAGAGGAGAACTGCCCCTGTGCCTTTGAGGCTCTAAATCTTCATGGGAGCAGAAACACTCATTTTTCTCCACAGAGAAGCTGCTGGGTTGGAACTGCTGACCTATGGTTACCAGCCCAAGGTGTGACCCGCTACTGTGTAACAGAAGCTAGGAAAGTGAAAGAAAAAATTCATCGGATCAAATGAGAATGAAATAACAACATACAAAGCCTTTGGGACACAGCAAAAGCAGTGCTTAGAGGGTAATTTTATAGCAATAAATACATATATTTTTTTTTAAAAAAAGAAAGTTGGAAACGGAAGAAATTGAGAGATTTGGTTAACTGTTGACTGCAAAATTGATCGTCTTCTCTGCTATCTTCCACCAAATTCATAATGAAACGTTTTTGCTTTTTCTTAAGAAGAATCCAAATCAACACCTAATCCGAGAAACTTTAATGAGGCATACAGAGCCTCAAAAAAGCCTGTAGCCTCCAGAAGAAAATAAAGGTTAGAGCAGAAATGAAAAACAACCGAAACAAAAACATCAATGAGAAGCTGGTGCCTCTGAGAGGATTAATAAAATCGGCGTCCCCGATTTCATTAATCTAACAGGAACAGAAGGCAATGGCATCAGCAAGGAAATGAAACGGGCTTTGCAGCAATAGAAGCAACAGCAATCAAAGGACCTGCACCCCAACACATTTGTAACCCTAGAAGAATCAAACACATTCTAGGAGCGTGCGCTCTACCTAAACTAACACATACTGGAGCAGAAACGTGAATAAATCCACAAAAAAGAGACTAATCAGGTCATTCAATACTCCCAACAACAAAAAAGTCTGAGCCCAAACTGCTTCGCTGGGCAATTCCACCACATGTCCTGAGAAGGTGTTGTTGTTAGGTGCCATCAGTTTGGTTCCAACTCATAGCCACCCTAAGCTCAGAAGAATAAAATACGTACTGCCCAGTCCGGGACCACCCTTGCCATTGTGGTTTGAGCCCACTGTTGTAGCCACTGGGCCAATGCATCCCATGGAGGGTGAGTCTTCCTCTTTTCCACTGCCCTTCTACTTTATGGAGCACGATGTCCTTTTCCAGGGACTAATCTCTCCTGATAACATGTCCCCCCAAAATGTGAGATGAAACCTCCCTACCTTG